GGCATCAGTGATCCCAGTTTAAATTTCTCAGGGATCCTGGAATGGGGCCTCCTTGAGCAGAGCCCTGTGAATTCCAAGTTCTGCTCCCTGTTCTTCCAGCTTGCTGTAGTGTCTTTGGCAGTCCCCTCCACTGGCCTTTCTCATTCCCTTGGCTGTAAAAAGAAGTGCTGCGGATACAGGCTTAAAGTACTCTGAAGTGCTATAGAACTTTCAGTTATTATTGTTAGACCTCAAGAGCCTTAGAAAATGCATTCAGCACGTGCCTAAACTGTCTGAGCTTCTTGGAAAGATTTGTTCTTTCCTGATTTTTTGGAACTATTGGCATACAGTTAAGCTCGAAGTGCATCCGTTTCCTTTCTTGCAGCACACCCATTCTGCATTCTGTGACCACAGCAAAGCATGGAGTTGGCAGAGCTATTTAAATAAGCCAGGAGAGAGCCTTGCTGAAGCAGCGCAAGCTCACCCAGCATGTTTCACAGCAGGTTAGATTAGCCTGTGCTCAGTGCCACGGTGCACAGGTTTTGCTCACTGATGGAAAAAAAAAGTATTGAGAATTCATGAATTTGTGACTTGCTCAGTCATCTGTCTGTGCCATGCAGACTGTAGCACAGGCAAATTCTTAGGCTGTGCTCAGGGTTTTGTAGACCTGGACAATAATAATAATTTGCTTGGAGAAATTTGCTGGCCTGCAGATAACCTTTTTTGTCCTCTACACTTTCAATATAGCAAGTATATAGCTGAACCATTTCTTTGGGTACCAGAATTTTTGTCTTTGAAACTGATCTCTTCTCCCCAGAGGAGATTGAGTAACTGAGTGTAAAGCACAGCCAGCCTCTTTTCTTGGCTTCTTGGAAATACAGGTCTAAAGGAGCAAGCCCCAAGCTCATCAAAGCATGGGCATACCTAGGAAAGGAGAGTAGATGTGCTTTGTGCAGCTGTGATACTCAGAAACAAGCAACTGTGCACAACCATGCTTCTCTGTCTTGCTGCTTTTTTTAGATGGGGGTCTTGCAGGAGAAAGGACAGATTTTAAGCAGCAGTGGTTCCTATTAGCACGGTGATTTCTTGGTCCAAGCCATATCAACATGACAGGTGGCGGACTTGACTTATAGAAAGCTGTGCATCAAAGAATCTAAAATGTAAAGTTGCAGTGTTTTGGGTCTTAAATCCTCCAAAGAGGAGGTAATTTTTCAGTTTATCACACAAGAAATTGTAGCACTGGCTTCTTGTGTAGTAAAAATCACTGACTTGTGGCCATGGAGGGTCCCCACATTGAGATTTACTGTGTGAATGCCAGAATTATCCCAAGTATTGTAGTTTCTAACTTGAAGATACTGTTGTGTTGAGCATACTGGTTCAGCCACTAAGCACTTTGGAGGAAATGGAGGAAAACCATGCATGTCTCATTCCTTTTTGGTGAACCAGAAGGGAAGGATGCAAATAAAAAAAAAAATCTGTCCAGCAAATAAAGTATTTTTATTTGATATTGAACATTTGCTCATTCTTTTAAATTCAGCTAAGGAAAACCATAAATGAAAAATCTGTTAAAACAGACATATAACAAGCATCGGAATGAAAGATTTAGATGCTTTTCACATTTTTGTTTTGCATGAACTATTTGGTGAAACCACAATTTATTCTGTGGTACTTTGCTACTACTAAATCAGTATTTTTCTGACAAGGGTTTGGGATGAATCTGCCCAGCTTTAAAGGCAAATGCAGGTGAATATTCTAGACAGCGGTAATAGTTGGTTTGAAACCTATTTCTGATTGCATATGATGCTTACAGGCTCAGTTCTCCAGGTTGAGACCAGTAATCATGCTATCTGCATCTTTCATTAGCAAAACTTCTCTTCCCACATACACTTGTTACATGTCAGGGTCTGAAATTTAACCTCCGATCAGGTGAACACTGAGGATCCTCATGACATGCAGCTCTTTCTCATTACAGCAAGAGTCCGCAAACTCTCCTCTTCTTGCTGTGCTGCCTTGTGTCCTCATGTAAGGTAGAAGAACAACCCCTGCTGGCTCTGACTGTCAGAATAACTGTCTGGCATCTCTAGTCTGGCCCTTGTATCTCAGAAAAAAAGCCAGCTTCCACCTTGTGGGTCTGCTTGGGGCAGATACGCTCTGCTCTTCCAGTGCATGGTGGTGCATCCATGCACTGCAGAGCAGCTGTCTCAGATCTGAAGCTGCTGCTCTCACCTCCAGCAGTGGTGCAGCTGTTGTCAGCTCTTGGGTCTGCACCCTCTGCTTTGCTGTGTGCTCTGTGGCCTTCTAATATTGTTTCAGCGAACTACCTGTGTCCTGAGAGACTGACTGCACAGAACTTGGGGCATGCCGCAATGCTCTGCTTGTGTTTACTGAAAACCACAAGTGTTTCTTTTGAAAAGACCATGCTTCAAAGCTATACTGCAGATACGCTGCTGTGGGTATGTGCTGTCCCTGCCATTCTGGCACACTGAATATCACTAATGTAACAAGCCCTTTTTAAAAAAATTTATTAAAGAACATATTGGTGTGACACAGTTTAGTACTCCAGGTGCGAATTCACCATTCATTGAAATGGATTTATGTGCTTATGCTCAGAAGATTATTGTTTTACTGGTACTTACGTGCCATGCTTCAGTGTTAATTGTGGATTATTCTCATCATTTTGCCTTTCATCAGAAATAGGCTGTACTTTAGCAATGATGTTATCCAGACTTATCTGCAGTATTCACACATGTGTGGTTTAACCCACATCTGTGGTATTTCATAGCATAAAGGAGGCAATGAGCAGGATTCAGCTCTTGGATTAAGATGGGTTTGACGGTCAGTAGAGGGCTGGCCATTACAGTCAGTGGAGCCTGGAGAGTAGTCAGCAGAACAAATACAGGGATCTTCTTTCAGGCGAGTTTTGTACGCTCAGTGAAGTGGGTTGATTGATATCTACTGATTGTAGCAGGAGCTTAGACTCTGAGTGCACAGCCAGCCAGACACACGTAGACCTGTGTTGGAGTGTCTTAATCTGCAAACTGAATCCCATGTTTCACTCTGCCAGAGCTTCTTCCCAAGACCTTGCTTGTCGCTCGCCAGGCTAATCTCCAGGTGGCTTGCTGAAGCTGCTGAGTTATTTTACCCAATAAAGGCCTGCTCCATCATCTCTAAATGAGGAATGTGGTGGCCTACGGTACTGCCCGATCAGCAGAGAGAGAAACACCTAAAAACCCAGTTCAGAACTGAATCACCCTCTGAAGGGATGTCTCCTCTGCTGTCTGTGCAGGGAGCATGAGAGGCAGCTGTCTGAGGCGCCCCTGCACAGTGCCAACAGAGAGAAAATGAATGTGCACCACAGACTTCTTGGAAATAAGCCGGGCTGGTCAGCACACTCCAGGAGAAATAAGAGCATGAAACAGGTTGAATTCAAAGGCCATCTAACCAATTTGACTTCATAGCCCATTCTGCTATGAGTCACTCCTGGTAGGTCATTTCCACAGCCTTCCCAAGTGGTTTTGCTCATGAGGAGAGGAGGGACTCGTCCTTATCATGGCTGGACCTCAACTTCGTACCAGTTCTATAACATTACTTGGCTATGAACAAAGACAAGTCTGTGAATTCAAAGGACAGGGCAAATCTCCAACGGAGAAAGCAAGTTTTCTTCCTTTTCAGCTAGAATTCTAGGAATAAGTTTCCCCTTCTTCCCAAAAAAATGCTAAAAATATTGTTTGGGTTCAGCTGTGTTTCACGTAATGCCATTATTGCAATCTCACCTTTCTGCAAAATAAGGAAACCATTTCCCCTGCCTGACCCCAATCTACAGAGACACCTGTGAAAATAGAATATTTCCACGATCCAAATACAAAGCAGCAGTAATAGTTTTATTGATGTGTATTTCTTTAGTGGTTCTTCGATGTTCCCTATGTGGCCATGATAAATTTGAGGCAAACAATCTCTGTACCTGCATGCTGATTTGGGATCAGCTTGCTGCCAAGGAGAGTTCTCTGAAGTTAGTGTTATCACTGGGGTACACATTTACCAAGTCCGAGGAAGCACTTTTAAAAGGAGAGGACTGTTCTGGAAATAGGATGTCTGGTGGGTAGCAGCAGCACAGAAAGCAGTAACTTTATTTCCCATGTACTGTGTGCCCAAGGGCATTTGACAGTGAGAAAAAGAGCTTGGGGAGATGGCTAGGATACTCTCAGAGAGAGCATTCTTTTCATAGATTAGGAAAGCTCCTTCTTTGCTTCTGGAGAGCTTATCTACATCAACAGCTTTTCTTCCCCTTTAAAAGAATTTGGAAAGTGTTTTTTAGGTGAGCAAAAAACCTGAGAATTGCAGAGACAGTCAGGACATGATTAATAAAAAAACCACAAAAGAAAGATTGTCCTATTGAGAATAGGGAGAGCTAATTTCAGGCAGTGCGAAGTAAAGGTGAAAGTAAATAGAAAAGAAAATGAAAAGTCTGTGCCAAGCAAGAAGGAGATGTTGGACATAAGCAGAAAATAAAACTGTAGTGACTTGTGCATTGTACAGTTATGTGTAATGGCAGTGGATATGATGATTTACAGATACTTCAATGAAATGCTTTTCTTCGAAGAAGCAATGGAGGCTGTAATATAAAATATTGCCAATATAGAAATTGAAATGCTTCTATCCTTGGTTCAGCCTGCATGTCTGCAATGTTAGTGAAATCCTAGTGCAAAGAAAGAAGTGTCCACAAGATTCTTTTTCCTCCACACTTTTCCTCCAAGGCTTTTCAAGTCTCTCTCCTAGAAGAAAATTGCCAATACAGTAGTTTTTCTGCACAAGCACATTGTCCCCTTGTCGTGAGAATGGCATATCAATGGAGGAAAGGATGTCTAGGTGTAGTCTGGCCAACATGACCATTTGGTCCTGTGACTGATGTCCTTCCTACCTGACTTTGCATTCAGGTTGGTGAGTGCTGTCAGATTGTGTGTCTCTACTAATAGTAGAGGATTTTGGAAACTGATTTAACAGTAAAGTTCCTCCTTGTTTAGATGACTTCATGAAGCAGGGCCAGGGCATGCTCGTGCTCTACACTATGAAGAACCCCTCCTTCCCAGAGTATGTCTTCAGCAGTGAAAGTGGCGTCATGTGCCTGGACTTCCATAATGACCACCCTTACCTCGTGGCAGTGGGCTTCTATGACGGCAATGTGGCCATCTACCACCTGAAGAAGGCAACCTCCCAACCCAGCTACAAGAGTAGTGCTAAGTCAGGAAAGCACACAGAGCCAGTGTGGCAGGTAAGGGTGCTTTTCCTTTCCTCTACTTGGGCTTTTAGTTGGGCTGGGTTTGGGCACAGCAGAAAAAGTGCCGTATGGGGAAAGGTGTGGGTTTAATACATGTGTTGGTGATGGATTAATAAGTTGTATTTCAGGCTAACTTTGAAATATGCGGAGAGGCAAAGAAATTGCATGAATCCTTCGTCCTCAACAGAGACTAAACATGTCAGCAGAAGTTTGCTGTAATTATTTCCCCTTAGTTTTCATTATTATAAATGACTTCTCTTTGGGGAGGAACTGATCTCCTCTGTATATACGAGCATGCAATGCTATTTATGTTCCAAATACAAGATCACAGGGCAGCAAGTGATAAGCATTGTGTAAAACACATACATCAGCCCTAAAAGCTCTGTATTGGGCACAGTAAACCCAGGGACAGCTGCCTGTGGAATTGGCTGCTGCTGGGATTCAAGACACACTAGTGAATTAATAATTGTGGTGTGCAGGTAGTGCTCTTACAGTAATGCCACTCTGGCATCTGTCACAAAGAGTCACCAGATGGACAATATTGTGAAGGACTGGGGTAAATATGTTGCTACATCCAGCTAATTTTATAGTTACATCTACAGTGTAATATGAGTTAAGACTGGAGTACTGGAAGGTATATGCACTTCTGATCTCATTTATAGCAGTAAAAGTGTGGCAGCACATATTTCATGGTCTGTATGAGCCCGTTGAGGTGCAGGAGTGTGTATTTGGTTTGCTAGCCTGGGCTACAGGTGTTGCTGGTGTTCACTATTGTTGTCACCTAGTTTAGGCTGCCTAATGCAGTCATACCGCTAGGTACACTGTCAGTGTTCCTTGTACTTTGGCACATGCCATGCATGGATTCTCCCCCAGCCATGGCTCCTTGTTGTTGCATCTTCTAATAAAAGTCCAAGAAATCAAAGGATCCTGATGGGACTGCAGATGAATGTGAAAAATGCCAAGAGCACCACTGGTGCTTGCTATAAACAAAGAGGTTATGCAAATGTAACATTTCAGAGAAGATCAGAATTTTATATTTGCTGCTTTTCTGTCCAAAGCTCTTCCTCTAGCAAACATTTTTTGCTCTTCTTACAGGTTAACATGGTACTCCAGCCATGGGCTGTTATCATAATACAGTGTGTCAGGTACTCACACACACACACACACACACACACCAACGCAGAGAACGCCAAGGTCCTTCCATTGCCATTTAAGCTTCCACTAAAAAAGCCTGGCAAAATCAGAAGTGCTATGTGCAGCTTCTCATGGCCTTGCTGTGGCATGCTGCAGGAGGTCAACGATTGTTTGAACGCTACTGACACCAGAATCACGGGTCATTTGTGCCCCAGATGGTGTTGGGAAGGACAGAGTATGCTTAAGGGGTGTTATTAGTGGCCTCACCCTACACACCAGAAGCAGTATGTTCAGCAGTAGAAGCAGTCTGTATTGGGTTTTTAGAGGTAGGTTTATGTGTGCCACTTGGCAGCAATGTGGTTCAGAGGTGAAAAAAGACATTAGGAACTCTAAGGAGAGAGCTCTGAAAAGGTGAGAAACTTCCTCATGGATATGGACAGATGTAGGTATTAGTAGCCTCTAGGTCCTGTCTGCTAATTTTATTTCGAAAGGTTTAGTGCTGAGAATCATTATTCTTGGCTTTCTTCTGCAATAAAGTACCAATATTTTTAGTAAACTCTACAGTTTTTTACTTCCTACAAAACTAGTAAGCAAGGGTAGTAATAAAGTGAGTGCACAGCAATCAGGAGAACAGCTTGTACCTCTGCTGGGAAGATCTGAACTGTAGACATTTGTCAATATCAGCCAAAAGGTTTAGGAAACGTCTTCTCTCCTTTTAATGGGAGGAGAAGGGACATGAAGGACTATCTATTAGGTTGAGACACTGGATTGTTATTCCTTATTTAGCACTAAATGGTTCTAGAAAGTGATGCCTTTTTTCTCATATTTAGTTCAAAGATGCCCTATTCTCCTCCGGCAACACCCCAGCTAGTAAGAAGCCTGGTCTTTGTAAGACCATACTGTGTAGTCCTCACTTTCGTAGAGGCTGCAAGTCCATGACTTTGAAGACCAATTAGAAAAGTAAAAAAGTTCTTCCAAACAATTAGGAGTCTTTGTTCTCTGGACTGCCTGGCTCCTTCCTTTTGAAACAATACAGCCTTTCACAATGGAAACAAAATGGGGAGTTTGTGAAGCAGTCTGACAGCTCTTTTCTTGTGCCATTTCATCTTCAGTGACTTAGTAATATCTCAGTAAGTTTGCATAAAACATAGCTGATGTAACATAGCCCATTATTAAGAGCAAAATAGAATAATATAGATTTTCTAATTCTGTTACCTAGGAATGAATTTGTCTGCCTGATACTGCTCCTCGTATTTTTAGAGCGTAGCAATGGCTGCTTATAGATTTGGCAATTGTCTTCCATGTATTAAGTGCTAACTGCATTGTAAATAATGGAAAATTCTGGCTTGCTTTAAATTACACATATCTAATTCCTTACTACCAATTGATTAAGATCCAAATACAGAAAGGAATAAACACATACGTAGACATATGAATGTATATGCATGCGTATACTCATACACCATGGAAACCTTAGGTCTTACAGGAACATAGAACTAGAAATGGTCTCCCAGGTCAGTGAATTCAGGCCTCTGTCTTTGGCTGCAAACACCAGCTTCAAAGGAGTCAGTTCCTGGAAAACTGTGCCAAATCTGTCATTTTCTGCTGGGCAATGCCTATGTGGGATTAAGAGAAACCCCACTTTTATCAAAATAATGGTCCAAATAGTCAGCAAAATCCTCACACTCCCATCATCTCCAGCACTGAGTACTCCTAGAAAGCAAGTCCCTGGACAGGGTAGCTGTTTGAACCAATGGCTCAGTCCCAGGGCTTGGCTCTGGGTGTTGATGAGATTGGCCAAAGTGGGACAACCTGGCTAGACTTTGGCACCCAGAGCCCACGAGAGCAGTCTCCTCTGGGGATTAGTGACACCCTGCTGGGAAGGGGGTCTCAGCATAGAGCCTCTCCCTTTGACAGCCTTTGAGCTTTGTTCTCACTTTCACCCTGGTTTTTTAAAAATATGATTAGGGTATTTACCACTGAGAAGAGTGCTTTTTTCCTTACCTTTCATCACTGCTAATATACTAAATATTTTAGATTTGAAGCATTTGGAAGCTGGACCACTTCAGAAACAAGGACTGATAACTGAAACTATCTGCTGTGTCAATGTTTATTTCTGCTGTTCAGTCTCCCTCCTAAAACACATCTTATTCAACAGATTTGTTTCCACTATGTGCTTCTAGTTCACTTTCACATCAAACCAAAAGGATGTTTCCCTGCTTGCTGCTGGGACTAGTACAGAACCAATACTGCTGCAGAAGGTTGGAATTTTATTTTTTTTACTTGCTCATCATCAGAATTACTGACTAAATTCCCACTGCAGAGTGTTGACCCTAAGATCTGCAAAAGGAACTTTTATTTTTGTTGTGCTTAGAGCAAATATCAGCTGTGGCAGGCTTGCCCATGTGCACAGCATGGTTTGGAATGGCTATGGAGAGATCACTGGTTAAAAAAGCATGTTGGTTCATTGTTAATTTGCTGAAGCTGATCTGGCCTCCCTGAGGAGCTGACACCATGGAGCTTCAGATGGCATCCTGAACGAATTCTTTTCTGCCTTATATTCGTGTATGGGAGGAAAAAGGGCTGGCCACTGCTTGCTAATTCTTCACCAAATGCTGTTCAGGTTAAATGCAATACTCATGGTTAGGACAAAAAGGACAAAGCAGGACTGTAGTAGTCTGCTGGCTGCCAAAGGAAACTAGAGGGAGTGTCAGCTTGCAGAATAGTTTCACAGTAGAATCTGTGGAAGACCCACCTAAATATAAACCAGATAAAACACATCTGAGACTTACTTGTTGGAGTGTGCCCAATAACTGTGTGATCCCTTCTCCATCTCTACTTTTTATGTTCTAATCTGAGTCCTCATATAAGTCTACAGTGAATCTTAGCAGTTCATGAAGCCACCCCAGACTCACTGAGGTCTTGTTTTGCTGGTGGAAGTAAATGAGTTCAGTTACAGAATCCCTTTAAAGTCAGCATGACCTGCTATTCTCTACCCCACTCCATGCTGCTGGGTACAGCTCCACAAAAAAAGGCCTTTCCAGGAAGCTGATTGTATTTGCTGCACTTAGGAGAAGAAAATGTGTTTTGTTCATAATCCGCTGTCACCCCAGCACATTGTTTCATTTCTGATGACGGGCAGTCTCCTAAATCTGTCATCTACAGTCAGACAAACAGCTTTTGCAGCTTGCATTGCCTCTGAGATGTTACTGCTTCCCATAATATTTTGTTGCTTTGGCTTCAGGCAAACAAAGAGTTTGATGCAAAGGAAATAAAAGAAAAAGAAAAGACAGAAGGTTGCTATCAAGGTCAGAATAAAGATCAGCTGTCTCAGAACAGGCTCAAAGCCCCTCCTGTTACCTTCACTGCTGAGGAGCACAAAATAAGTGTTTGCTGGGGGTAGTTCAGTGATAAAACATCATTCAACTCTGTGAGGATACTGTTAGGGGATAACTCGAGAGGGGAAACAGAAATTTAGAGAAGAAAGGAGAGCAACAGAGACCTGAAACCAAAGAGCCTGGACCGAAGATAGGGAGAAGGAGCATCAGGTTGCGAGCTGGCAAGTGGGAGAATGTAGCCTGAGGGGATAACAGAGCAGAAACCTGATGGTGAGGATCATTCAGCAGAAAACCCCTAGGGTATCACAAGCAAACTGCATCTTTCATACTGGGTCAGTGCAATGTCTGCACGGAGAACCTTCCTCTTGAGCTCCATCTTTCTCCTACTTTCTTCTTGCTACCAACACTGCCTTGCACACCTGGCCCGGTGCAAAAAACACAAAAAGCTTAATTAACCTATGATGTCCCAGGAGTAAAGGAGACCACTGTTTCCTCACCAGAGAGGTCACTTCAGTCATTCGG